TATGAATGGTTTCATTTGTCACGTACCACGGAGAATTAAGTATTGTACATAGAATATTTGACGGTGTTCTCTGAATTATAGCTATATTCGATTTGTAAGCACAGCCCCAGAGCTCAATTCCGTAGGTCCAGATTGGTTTGATGATTGTTTTATATAGCAGCAATTTATTTTCAACGGAGAGCTCAAGCTTTCACGCATTAGGCAATTAAATTTTTTCATTTTGAACATTATTCTATGGTCTTTGAAAAAAGTTTCTGAATATGAATAAAATCAAGATGTTTAGCTTAGGTTTCAGATCCCAGTTGTTCATTTTACGAATAGACTATTTTTTTGTATAACCAAGGATTTTGTATAACCATTTACGCATCCCAAACTAGGTTTTTTGCCTCGGTATGTCGGGCTCAACACGCCAGAGTATATAATCCTCTAAAATCTCCGTTGATTCTTATATTGTAGATCCGATTCATTTTCTATTAGCCTAATCTTTTCTTTTGTTGAATAGCCAAGGAAATCCATTCACGCATCCCAAACTAGGTTCTTTATCTGGATATGTCGGTTTCACATTGCTTGAATATAAAACCATCCAAAACCTCCATGTATCTTTTAAAGATTGTTGATGACAGATACAATTATTTTAGAACTATTATTCTTTTATTGCTTGAATCGTAAAACTAAATTAGCATCCACGAGTGCATATTTAATGGGTAATTTTGAACATAAAGCTGGAAAGTCTGGCATTTATTACAATATAATTTTATTTTAAATGCATATTTATTGCATCTAAAAATAAATTATTTGTGGGTCAGATGGATGTCACGGGAACTACGGAACTATTTTAGTCACTGGAGTAAAATAAGTGAAGATATGTTTTTGGTATAATATTACATACTTCCAAACTTCATAATTAACCAAAAAATTATTTTTTTAATTTCCATAAATATCATGTCAAATGATTTATTACCACCTTTTACCTTCATCCTTTCCTTACTGTCCTTAATTCTACCATATCTCAGTATATAATTTTATAGAATTTTTCCATTATTTTCAATATTTTATAATATACAAACTAAGTTAGAAAAAAATCACTAGAGAGTAATAAATTAAACCAGACTATTACACAGGTAATATAATAAATAGGTAATATAAAAAATATTGCAGTATAACTTCGTGTTATTACAAAATATATTTTTTCATAAATCCGATTAGGTTAGATACAATCCGCCTCAGCCTATTTCACCACGTACGTTTCGATCAATTTGTGTACATCCGACTTAAGTGCACTTCAAATATTTTCGAAAGCTTTTAAAATCTATCAACGTTAACAGGGCCTATATGTATTTTGTCCGGGCAGTTCCCTCGAATAAAAATATTTATTCTGAATAAAGCTTTTTGTGTCATAGTCTAATTAAAGTTTCATGCAGCATCCAAGCTCTTGTTTGTATTACTCAGAGCGTTCCGGTTGTAATATTGCCGCTGTGTGCACAGGACGACGGCACGGGATGTACGAGTAGGTACATACCGAAAATATTTGATTGCTGCACTGCAAATGCGGGCGTCATAAATACTTAATTAGTAAATCTATCATAACATTTTTGTCATAGAAGATAAAAGAATCAGATATAAAAAAAATATTCATTTTCTAGGGTAGAGTCTGTCCTCCTTCATTTTCTGGATATGCACCACTTTCTCTATCATTATTAAGGTGACCATATTTTTTTGAATGGAATCCGGGATGGATAATAATGTGTGTGAGAGCGGAGGAGAGGGGCGTGCTAAAAATCTATGTGCACATTTTTGCGATTGAAATTTTCGAGTTAAAATATATTTAAAAAAATATTCTAATATGTAATTCTAATTGAAAATTAAAATTAACTCTTCTTTTATAATAATTTGTTCTTCTTATAAATTACCTTTAATTGGCATAGTCATTTTAATTAAAAAATAATCTAATAATATTTTCACATAAAACACATTAAATAAATACCTTTAAAAGAATGATAATAAAGAATAGAGTTAATAAATAATATTTAAATATAACAATAATTGTATATTGCTATTCTATGTAAAAAAAATTTCAGTGTAATATTTTTCTGGAAACTCATTAAAATGTTATTATCGTGGATCGAAATTTTACTATAACACCTACTTCTCATTTATTATTCAATATTTTGCTTGTATGACTAATTTAAAATCTGTTTTATACAAAGTTGACTCTCGAATATATTATGTATATCTGTTTAATATATTTTTGCTAGTATTTTTTAACGATGCTGATTGGAATATTTCACTCGATGATGCATCTAATACAGCTCAACATTTAATCACAGAAGCTAAGTCTGCTATTTTATAACTAGATGTAACAAAATCACATTTTTGTTTAGATTTTTATTAATAATGAGAAATATAATAAAGAGTACATGTAGTGCTTTAGATATTGTGATAGAATTTATATATTTTGATTAATTAATAAAAGGAGCTCTCAAGCAATATGATGTATATGAAATAATTAATTTATAGCTGGGCATAATAATTGATAACCAATAAATATTGATAACCAAAATTGCGCTCACATAAAAAACTATTTGGTCAGGATTATTTGTACTATATACTATTATTTGTACTATTACGTTTAACATCAATCATTTTAAATCATTATTTTTACATTTAATTTACATTTACTTTTAATTTAACATACATTTAATCACTAGAATATAGTATATAATTTTATAATATTTTATGAGTCAGATATATATATATATATATATATATATATGTATATATGTATATATATGTATATAAGTTATGAGATAGCAGACAAAATATTCAGATAAAAATACACTTTCACATTCCCATGCGCCCAGGAATTTCTCCAAATTTTATGTTTCGTCTTAAAACAATTTGTCCAGAAATTATTTTCATAGTCATCTCTTATACATTCAAATAATTTCTGTTAAAGACTCATAAAAGTATCATTGTCATAGACATTCTAAACCTATTGTTTTTTTATTATCCTCAAAGTTCTGTTTGTCTCTATTTTAGAATCCATTTTACGAGCATCGTCTCGAAAACATGTCATGAACTCATTCAGAGGTTTTTCTGAAATAGCAACTTTGGGGAAGAGCTCAAGACCGTCATTAAAAGCAGCAGAAAAATAAATATCTCATTTATTCTAATCGGAATGATTAATGATGTAAATGACTCCAAACAATGAGTTGATTGAGGAATGGACAAGTGTATATTTTGTCATTTTTTTAGAGAGATTTAAATTAATTATTGAAGGGGATGATGAAGAGTATCATTTATCATAAAATTTTAAAGAATTGATGAAATGTGTATTTTGCTGCATTATACGGTAAATCTTGTAGCAGCAATTTATATTTATGCCAAAAAGTTTTGGTAGATATTTTAGTTGGTTAAATAATCATCTAGGTTTAGATAAATAAGTAACAATAATGAATTAATAAAAAATGTTAGATTAATAATATTTAAAACTAATTTATTCACTCAAATTGCTTACCAACTGGTGACAGCCCCATGCGTAGTTAGTATTGTTTTCACAGTTGGGCAAAATCTGAAACTATTCTATCATACTCTGATTTATTCTACAAGTTTCTACATAACAATGAAAAATCACAATAAATCACATTATTATATAAGTCCTGCATTTATTATGCGAATAATAGAGAAGATTCGGTTATAGAACATCTCCTCCATTGTGCCGGAGTGTTCGTTTGCATATGAAGCAACTTCAGTCAAACGCTCGTCTTGGCACGCATGTAATTTATGATATAACGAATATATCACAGAACTTAGATGTAAATTGGCTGATATAATGGAAATTCGATTAATTTTGAAGTTGAATTATTCTATACTGATCTAACTATTTTTTGGATAATAAGCCTTTGAGTTATTCTTTATTTTGAAGTCGTAAAATATCTATTGTCTTACAAATTGTTTCTATATCTTTTCTTTCATCCTCGAAGTTACTTTTATGTTTTGATTCAATTTTAAAATGTCTTACTGGATTTCATTGAATTGTTTTATAAAAATATTGTTTAGGTGTTGGGCAAATGATTTCGATCATTCTTGTTACCTTTGGTTTATATGTAATCTTTTTGTATCCTTAGATAAGGATTCTTGAATTTTCGATTTATACTTTTGAATTGCAATTTTGTTTTTAAGGACGTTTTATGATAGAACTAACAATTAGTTTATTTCTACATTTATTTTATATATAAGCATGAAAGCATAACGTGAAAATGAATAGACATGTATTATAAGGGATGCGTGAGCTTAAACTATAAGCTCTTTTTAAGTCTCTATTTTTTATTGAATGAATTAGGTTTCGGTAAAATTGTATAAATTTTGCTGTTAATTTATTTATTTATATTTATATTTTTACAATACAATTATACAATTAAAAATATTAATGGTACATAACTTAAATTAATAATAAATAATACATACTATATTAAATAAAATATAATTTAAAAAAACAAATGTTTACTAATAACCTTATTCTAAGTTATGCCTTTTATATAAAATAAAAAAAAATAAAAAAAACACAGAATTTTTACTCAAAAGTTATAACTCAAATACTTCAATGTTATTGAATAGTATGTTATTTAATACTTTAATACAAAGTATTTAGTAGCATACTACATTTTTGTATATTGGTAATATTTTAGTAATATTTTTTAGTATCATATAATACAATTAAAGGTAATATTGGAAATTTTATTGAATCAAATCTTATTTTATCGACCCAGTTATCAATTCTTCAATTTTATCAAATATATATATCAGATTTATTTTCTTAGCTATGATTTAAATAGGTTTAAGGTTATGATTTTTAAATCATAGTTATGAAAGATAAGATCTTATATACGATATCTGAATAATATTTTATTTTCTAATATTGTTTTTGTTTTTAAATATTTTTTATTCTTTACAGGTAAGCACCAAGAGAAGCCAAACTTTCCTAACTTTACTAACTCCCATCATGGTCAATGAAAGCTAATATCGTAAGTTTTTATGTCACATATTATAATTAGATTATATTAATAATAAATATCCCAACTCATTTTTTGTAACTCTTTTACATTTGCCAATGAATAAAAAAATGATTAAAGTCATTTATTCACATTTCTTTTGAATTGGATAATCGATCCTAATTTTATTCATTTTGTTAGACACGAATTTTACCGATTATTTCATTAATATATTACTCTAAATTCTTAATTATGCTTCAATAATATTAATTCTAAGAGTGCAAACTTGCAGTAAACATATACAAATTTGTTCACCTTTAGGATCATAGATATTTAGATTTATTTGAAGAAGTTATTTTTTACTTTGGGTAAATTGAGAGATCTTGGTTCAAAACTTCAAATTCACTTTTAAATTTAAAATATGACATAAGCCAAATAGCTCATAGAATTTGTCATGTATTCTGATTGCTATTGCAACTAAAATTAAAAAAAAAAAAAAAAAAAAAAAAAAAAAAAAAATTGGCGGTTGAATATTCTAACAATAAGTGAATATTATCTCACTTTACGATTGAAAGAAAGATAAGAGATGAATCTTGTCCAAGAATAGGTCTCATGAATTCGATTATAAGGTTTGATGGATAACACTTTCGAATAATTAAAAAATTATTAAAATCATTTATTTGCATTACTTTTGAATTAGTTAATCGATCCTAATTTTATTCATTTCGCTATACACGAATTTTACCGATTTATTTTATTAATTTATTACTCAAAATTGTTAATTGTGCTTGAATAATATTAATTCTAAGAGTGCAAACTTGCAGTAAACATATACAAATTTGTTCACCTTTAGGACCATAGATATTTAGATTTATTTGAAGAAGTTATTTTTTACTTTGGGTAAATTGAGAGATCTTGGTTCAAAACTTCAAATTCACTTTTAAATTTAAAATATGACATAAGCCAAATAGCTCATAGAATTTGTCATGTATTCTGATTGCTATTGCAACTAAAATTTAAAAAAAAAAAAAAAAAAAAAAAAGAAAAAAAATTGGCGGTCTGAATATTCTAACAATAAGTGAATAATTATCTCACTTTACGATTGAAAGAAAGATAAGAGATGAATCTTGTCCAAGAATAGGTCTCATGAATTCGATTATAAGGTTTGATGGATATATGAATTTTAAATTTTACTCTATATTTTATTCCAAAATATACCATACCCTATCCAAAAAAGTTGAAATTGATCTCTATTGTGTTGTTTTCTGTAACTTCCATCTTCCATCTTATATACTAACTCCTCGTGGAGCATTCTGTACATGAATCACTGTGGTACATATTCTCAAATCAGGAATTCGAAAAGTTGCGTCACGTAGAGATATACTAGCGAGAGGACTTGTCTCAACAAATATTCGTTGATCTCCTTGTTTCACCCCTTCTCGGAAGCACATAAATCTGTCGAGAATAAAACAAAATACGAGTGCAAGGATAATGCCAGATTTAGAGAAAAACACAACGACATCGAATTGAGCGAGATCTGCGGAATGTTGAGAATATTGTGCTTTAATTTAAATTGCTAACAATTTTGGTAATACATTTGATTGAAATTTTGTCTGTTGGTATGCTGGTAATATTTTGTTATGAAATAATGTCTTTACGGATACACATATGTGTTAGAGATCGGTGGCAACTTATGGAATAAACATCTATATCTAAGTATTACTAGAAACTATGCAGTAGAAAAGCAATATCACAATATTGCTTCAATTCTTCTCATATTTATTAATTTCCGAAAAATGTTATGATCTCGCTAAAAAAATCTGATATTTCAATGAAAAAGTGTGTATCAGAGCCAAAATTTGACCTTTCGTCAACTTTTTTTGAAAATGGCTTCCCTGATTTCATTTTTTTTTAAACTCTGTTTTATTCAGCAATCAGAAATACATAAGGATTCCTATGAGCTAAATTGACAATTTTGAGAACGATGTCTAAGAACTCCAGTGAGATCTTCTTAGTTCAACAATTGATAAGATAATGTGTATATTGAAGCTAATCTAAGACTAAATCTAAAGGCCATTGACGTTTCAAAAATTTAAGAGCAATTTGATGAAACCCGATATACGCTCTTTTTGATAAGTTTTGGGAGACAATCCTCCAAGCTGATTGTTTAGAATTAACAGAAAAGCAAAATGTTTCCTCCATGATTGCGACAAAAATCATGAAACAAATTTGAGATATTGTTTCTTCTATTTCAAAGATATCAATTGGTGATAGTATTGTTCAGTTTTTTCTATTGATTCTTGCTAATTAATTCTAGGTTTTACAATGTTGAGATAACTTTTTATGATGATTGAGATTGTGATGATTATATTAGATTAGTTATAATAATTTATTGAAGTTTGGAACAATGGACGTTTCAAAATTTCTTAATTCTAGTTTTGATCTATACTAACTGTAAGATGGTCTGATATTTGCTCCACTGTTTACAATAGTAAATAGTTTTCCGAAATACGTTCACTTTTTTATCTGTTAAATTGAAACAATTTATGGCTGAGATTGTAATTCAACTCAATGTGAACTCAATTCAAAATATGTAGGTATATAAACTGGAGAGCAAAAAAATATAATAAATCAATAAATTGAGAAATGAAACGGTACTTTTTCATATTAGTGAGTTAAAAAAGTCATGTATCAATATTATTATATTTTTAGTATATTATATTATTATATTATTGTCTGTGATCTTTCATCAATTATCCATTATTTTTGTTTAGTGTATTTTAATTAATATTATTATGTGTCTGTCACCATTTATCAATAATCCATTATTTTTCAATGTGTATTGTTTCATCAAATTGAGCTGTAAATTCTGCAATTTCGTGTTATTTTCAATTTTGTATCATTTGTTATTGAAACATGAGCGTTTGTGTTAAAAAACACTAAACCTTGCTATTATTTACGTTTCATTAAATTCATTTTAATGGGTGGCTTTTGCTCGTTATATTATTTTATATGGAGACCATCAGACTGACTGTGTTTAATTAAATATTGTACTGAAATAGAATAAATAGTATAAATATATATATATATAATATATATATATATAATCATCTTATTAAATTTTGAATATTTTAATTTGATGTCTCTATATATACTATACTACCCAAATTTCTCTTATAGCTGATTTCTTCATTCTTCTTTTTCTTTTGTTTTCTTCTAACCATGTTTCTTCTTCTAATTCTATTCTTCCTCAAATCAACAATTCAAATTCTACTTAACTCGGAGCATTAGTCACTTCCTCATTTTTCTCTCTTCTAACTTGTTTTATCTTCTTATTCTATTCTCTCTCTTCTAACTTGTTTTATCTTCTTATTCTATTCTCTCTCTTATAACTTGTTTTATCTTCTTATTCTATTCTCTCTCTTCTAACTTGTTTTATCTTCTTAATCTATTCCCTCTCTTCTAACTTGTTTTATCTTCTTATTCTATTCAACCTTCCTTTAGTTCTTTCTTCTTCTCTTTATCTTCGAGTGTTTTAACCGTTTTTCTTCTTACTCAACTATTCGAATTCTGTAATTTTAGTTTCAACAATACAAATTTTATGTCAATGCTAGGACTCGAATGGAGTATCCCTAGTAGAGCTTGCTACTGCCTGAGCTATGCCTGCCACATATATTCATTGACCCTTACTTATATCGTAAGATCTTATGAGATTTGAAATACATTTTTTCAATGATATATTTTCACTAAAAATAAAATATGTATGTTGAAAAGAAATTTTTTAATTTTGATTAAATCGATGACTCATCCCTAAATTAACTGTAATTTTCTACTTGACTGAAGCAATTTCGGAATGCATTCAGTTATTGTCAACTATAAATAACGTATTTCAAGCGCGTCGCAGATTCTCCTTTATTTTTCTTCGACTGTGAATTGTATTGCGCGCACTTCTCACAAATAACTCTCGGGGAAGGCACGTAAAAAGTCACGAAGTTAAAAGCACTACTACCTACATATTCAATAAACGGATGCAATTTCTAACAAATTCGGTTTTGGACATTCTTTCGATTTTACCTATTCAGCGGATGTACTGTAATTTTCAGCCCAACATTATAGAAAACAATACCTTTGTCGCAAATTCCACATTTGCTTAAGAAATCTAATTATCATGTTTAATCTTATAAAGTGATTTTATAAGTATGATTTTTTTATCTTATTTTATATATTTCCTTTCAATCATTCTTTTCGTGGATCTAGAACGTAATTTTAGTGTAACGTTTGACCAAACGTTTGGATGTAGCAATGGTTCCCAAAGGAATCAGTAAATTACGCCCCTATTCCCTGAAAGGGATTTCAATCTGAGACGAATTGCTCATAGGTGATTTGGCTTACTGTTTTATGGCTGTAGTAAAATAGTGATTTTTATAATATATATATATATATATATATATATATATATATAAGATGAAATAGAAAAAAATTAACTAGGTCGGCAAACAAATATCTAAATATAACATACAAAATATGAGATTAGAAAAATTATATTTTAATATATTTTAAATACTAGGTATTAAAAATAATATGTATGAATATTTAAAAGAAATTAATTTGTTTTGATATTTAAAATACAACTGTAGTAGTAGCTGTTTTTCGACCATTTTATAAAGATTTTTGGGACCATTTCTTCTGCTTTACAATCAAAAATGAAAGATTATTCAACAATTTTTAATGTCAGCTATCCTATTTAAAAATTATCTTGTAAATTGTAAATAAGAAAAAGTAATAGATATTTAGTGGTTTATTTATAAGTTTATTATGCTTCTTCAAATATTTGGAGTGGAATTATTTAGATCTTTTTAAGTGGAATTGTTTATCGTCATCATATTGGACCTGGAATGTCTGTTTTTTGCACAGTTCCAGCATTTATTGAAATCAAGCCTATAAGATGTCCAAAAACTATTCTAGTCGTCTTATTATTATTGTTAACTTCCGTAGGGTAGTTATAGTAATGGGTCATTGTTTTTTCAGAAGAC